TGCATGAGCAAGTTTGCATTGGTATTATTTTGAGGTGCTTACATGGCTGTTTCTTTTGTACTCTGTTATGTAACATACATTATGTGTAGAAAGAAAGGTAGAGATGTCTAAGAGCATCTCTGCAGAAGTATCGCTCCAGCCCAGATGCACCGATGGAGAAAATCACGGCAGATAACGATGTTTGAAATAAGAAGTACGATACACCGATTGTCAATTCCAATACCGATGTTTGTTTCATGACTTCTTTTGGTATAATACTCCCACAATGCCAACATTTTAAAACAAGTCAGAGTTAGTTCAACAGGTGACTTCATCTGCCCATTAAAAAACCTCTTCTCTGAGGCAGTAGGTGTACTATGTCAGTATTTAATTGATTTGGTGGAACAAATAAACTTTGGCTACTGACATCGGCTCATGCCGAATCATTTGCCGATATGCTGATGTCTGGCAACAGGGCCAAATCAGCTGATGCTGATGTTCTCTACTCCAGCCTTAGGAATAACAAATCACCAAGCCACCGGCTTGTAAAATTGTGAAACATTCCCACGTTATCACAACATAACTTCTTGTATAGTTTTCAAATCAGAGTTAACATTGTGATTATGCATAACATCAGCACAATTAAATATGATCTTAAGGCTGTCTTGATTGTTGCGTAATGAATGTTGAATGCAGCCAAAAGGAAATGGTAACACTAGTACGATGGTGCAATACAACCGCAAAGAAACCTGATAAAGAAGAAGGCTGCATGCCTTTCTCTGGCTGCTGCACAACAAAGCATCATGACCAACAGACTCAAAACTACAGGTTTCAAAAAGAACAAAACGAGACAAGTGCAAGGAGGCTGACACGTCGCCCACTCCAACTGCCTCGTAGCATGCCACAAATACAGAAACAACACTACAGTAAAGAGGACTGTTTGTATAGCCTCTGTGGTGGTAAAAAGGATCGGTGGATACAGTCATTTAAAAGCTGTAAGAGTAAAAACAGTCAGTAGCCAAAAAAGTAAGGAACCAAAGTTTCTCCTTGGAACACCAGTGAACATGTTCAACACAGCTCTCAGGATTAGTTGGGGTTGTAAAAAGAAAAACTGTTGTGTTAATGGATACAAAAGTTTGAGAGGAGCTGTCGTTTTACCAGACAAAGAGATTTTGGATTTACTGGAAGTCAAAACAAATACAATCCCAGTCCTGGAAACCTTAGTCACGCATGATCCACCTGCCTGGGCCTGTAGCTCTAATTTATCATTACTGATATATCAGGACACAAGTGTCTTCTTTTTACTCATTCATAGTTGGTATTTCTGTTTCCTGTAGTTATAGGGATTCTCACTTCAAAAATAGTGTTACCCTGTTGTTTGTTTTCTTTTTAATTTAATGCACATCATCTCTGACCTACAAGACACAGTTCAAACTGCTATTCACATGAGCCAAACAAATGGATTAAAACATACCAAGTTGCATTTCAGGTCACAACTTGCTTCCTTCAAATGAACTCCCAACAATTATTAAGTTTTCCTGCAGATAGGATTAACTAAAGCAAGGAGTCGACGGGCAGAGCAAATATTCATACATGGCATGCAACATTAGAAAAGTAAAACACTTGTTGGAATGCAGACGCCCTGATGGCTGTGATGGATCAGAAGATAAGGAAAGAGTTCAGTTTACAGAAACTGAAATGTTATTGGGAGAAAGTTCAGAGATTAAACGGTCACAGTTCGACCCACACAGTTCCACTGATGAACTCTGGAGGTGTCGTGTATCTTTAAAAACAAATCCTACAAGTTACCATGAGTGAAGATCATCAGAGATTCTTTGTACACACTTGTTGTTTCAGGTACGGCATTACAAACATGAACTAGGGCTGCTAGATAATGGCAAAAATCATAATTATCATTATTTTGATTAATATTGAGATCACGATTACTTACAGATGATTATTCATCTGCATCGCATTCATTATCGAACTTTAACACTATAACCATTAGTTAACTATGTTTTGGAGTACGTGGTGATGTTCTCTTGTGGCTGAAACATAAACACTTTGAAGCATTTACCACCCATGACGAAAACTTAATTTCCCACCCCTACATGAACAAGATGATATCAACCTGTACCTGTTTGCATGTTTAGAAGCTTTAACTGTTGTGTTTGGCCTTAAGGTGTACTCCAAAGTTAAGCTTTTCAGGAGGCCAGTCTGTATTTTTCCCCTGGAGCTTTTCGGATCCAGGTTACACTTTATGGCAAACAAAAAACAAACCTGCTACCAAGACATGTCGATGAGATATTTCTTTGATTAATTTCAACTACACTTTATGTCAGTTACTGCTTTACCCATTTAATAATTGTTAAAATGTCTAGACATATATTATTTTTAGGGCTGGGAATCTTTGGGTGTCTCACGATTTGACTCAATTTTGATTCTTGGGGTCATGATTTGATTTAGAATCTATTGTTGATTCAAAAACGATTTTGGATTAATGATTCAAAGTCTATTTTTGAATTAGTACATACATTAGGATCTACTCCAGTCATCTGTGAGACTGGCTGAATTTCTTGCTGCTCGATTTGGCTTTCTAAAGAGCTAGCCTTAGCACTTAGCAGGGAGTGACTGATTAGCCACAAAACATAAATTGATTTTGGGAAATTACGAATCTATTTAAAATCTCGGAAGATAAGAATCTCGATTATATTTTATAATAGTTTCTCTATCTATCTCTCTATTCTGATTGCGGTTATCATAAATTAGCATAAATGGAAATGTGCTTGGATAGCAAATTTGACTTCATCATCTGCAATGGTTACAACAGAAAAGAAAATCTGAAATACCTGAAGGATAGAGACATACAAAATATTTCTCTATTATATTTCAATTAGCAAACATTAGTTAGCTGCCACTCAGATTTTTTTTTTGTGTATTTGCACAAGTTAACATGACATGGCAATTAAAAGTAAGCAGAGAGGTAAGAACTGTCTTCAAATCAGCTAGCGTGTCTGGATAACAGTAACAAAGCAAAAATCTATTACCAATATAAATCTGAGAAAAATCCTACATGTGCACACAGCTTGGTATTTTTCATTATTCATCAAGGGCTTTAACTGAAAATCTTGTCAAAACTTGAGCTTTAACGGGTCTGTGTGTTTGATCTGGACGACCTGCATCGAGAAGCAGCATTCATTTCTAGAAGCTCATTCAATTAACCACCAGGACTGTTTGTTTTTGGTGGGTTTTCCATTTCGCTGACTAAAAAATGCCTCTCTGTGTGTCTGCACTGTAGGCAGGCTGTGTGTCGAATCAGTGTTCTCAGAAAGCCTACCAAAAAGGGAAAAAATAACTTGACTGCTGTTTGACACAAAGACAATATATGATGTAATAGTGGAGAATGAACACTTAAGGCCAGCTACAGTACAACAGATGTAACAAACAAGATTTGTATTGTGGTTTTAGAAAGTCTTTGTTAGAAAGTTTTTGATCCGTCTTTATACAATCTGTTTAAAATAAAAGAAATGTATCAAGTACATTTTGAGGGTAAAGTAGTATGAAACAAAACCAACAAGATGCATTCACGATATGACAGGTGAACATTTCTAAACAATTAATAAAAAGGAGAATATAATAACGTTTTAAGAATGTATCCCTTCCCTTGCATACTTGACAACATTGGTTGGAAAATACTCCTTCTAATATTGATGTATCTATATTGTAACCAGGCAGCAGTAACACCAGGACTGATATGGGATCATTACTATACAAGTTATAGCAAATCTGATCTGAAATAAGTCCCTTCCAAAGAGATTTTGTCTTTCTCTGGTAAAAATGACACTGTCCTCTGTACATTAACAACGGTTTGACACTAGTGAGCCAAAACATACAGTTAAGTTATTTTTAACAGAAAAGATGCAAATTAGCACCAACTGGAACAAACAAACCAGTCGGTTGACCATTAGTAATAATAGAAAAAAGCTTATAGAATTAAGGCTTCATCAAAGAATTGAAGGTTATATAATCTATAAAACATGCAGAAGATATGTGGTATATTAACGTTTGAATGTCTTCATCTTTCACTGCATTCCTGAAAGCTTATGAGGTGATAACATATGGATCTAGAGTGGTTCTGTCAATACATTCCCTCATGTGTATTGTGTATCCAGGCATCTGTCTACTGAAACCCCTTGAGGAGCCTCCTGCACTACTTTTCCACACAAATTATATAAATATAAGCCAAAAGAAACCACAACATCTTAAATTAGTTACCACAGGTGTTCATTAATGCATGATAATAGGTCTATTTGTAGAAATAAATCAAATGTAATAGTATCATGGGGACTACAAATTGCTGTATTGACTACGTATAATGTGTATGCTGTATTCAGTTGTTACGCATTAGAATTGAGTAATTTATTAGACAGATTAAAACCAGGACAATATAATTTGAAATAGGCATAACTAATAATTAAAGATGAGGGTGAACACACCCTGTTGTGTGCCTGTTGAAAACATTGACGGCCAAATACTGAAGTTTTTCATTCCATAAGCAGTAGACCTACGTTGCGTTTTAATACAGGTGATTAAACAATTCAACCGCATTTTAAAGCGATTTAAAATGTGTTTATGTAACATTAGAACCCTGCTCCCCCTTTTCAAGCAAGTTAGAGGAAAGCATCCTAATTAAATACATTTCCAGGTAAGAGAAGTGCATTCACGTCTGGTCGGGATCATCACGGTGCAAAATCATACCAAATGTGAACTTAGAACAAGAAGTTTCAACAGTGACTTTTTCTTCTTCTTCAAACAGACGCTGTGTGTTCGTGTAACTATCAAACGGCTTGGCACTGTTGCTGGCGAGCTAAAACATGAAATGTAAGCTAGTTTGTTTTTATGTTTTTTTGTTTTTTTTTAAAGGTAAAGGTGCGAGTTAACGTATTTTAAACTGTAAACCCCGTCACAATGTGAACAAAAATGGGTAGCTTGAGTCTTTTTTTTTTTTTTGGCACACTTACCACACCATTCCATAGGCTCCCTCCCCGATGTAGGAGAGGTTGCTGTACCGAGGCCCGACGTCGAAGGCCTGCCCGCGGACAAGCTCCGTTCCAGTCCCGGGGCTGGGGCCGCTGCCAGCAGGGGCAGACACCGCAGCTGTCGCCATTATGAAGACGGATTGTTTTTCTTTACAACGCTATTAAATTAAAAAAAAAAACGTAACTAAGGTTACCAGTACGTATAGTGTGTGTTTATATCCGTCGCTGTGGCTGCAACAGGGTCTTCAGAGTGGCAGAGGCCTTCACTACGTACAGAGTGTTTTTTCGTTTCCGTTAACGTGCGTTAAAGCGACCACACCACTGCTGTGCTGTCGCAGGCAGGAGCGAGTAGCGGAGGAGGAGGAGAGATTGTTACTGCAGGGAAAAGCGGAGATGGTCATGTGATCCAGTGTTTTCTTTTTTTTCTTTTTTCCTGACTCTGCTCTATCTTTCCCCCTTTTTTTTTTTTTTTTTAATTCCAACGGATAACAATTGTTACCTTCAGTTACAGTAAGAAACAGAGAGGTAGAAACAACTGCTTGGAAACAACTTGTTTTAATGTTTGGGAGGAAAAAAACGAATAAAACAGAACAGCCTATGCAAAATCAGTTTAGTTATTGATGGGTTCTCAGAATTGAATGAGAATTTCCAAAGAGTAAACATAAAGTGCTTCAAATAAGTGGCATACGCATAGCAATTAAGCAGTTTTTTTTTGTTTTTAGCCTTTTCGTTTGTAGGCTACATAAAAATAAAAGCACTAAAATAATTTGATTTATCATTTTACACTGACTTGTTATGAAGAAGGGCCCCTCTTTCATCACCAATCCACAATCTGAGCTTCCCTTCCTAATCTTATGAATAACTTTTAAGCAGGTGTGTCTCCCTGGAGAAGAACCAGAGACTGTTTGACTGATAGCCTATACATTTTCAAATAATGAACACATCTCTGGTAGGCTATTTCATTTGAGTATAACCAGTTAGTGGTCTAGAGGAAACTCTTTCACTTCGTACTTCACTTAAACTATTAATTTCAATTTAGGGAGAACTTTAAGTGCCTTTTCAGAAACTAATTGCAGCTGTTACTTGAGTTTGACCCCAAACTTTGTAGAGGAGTTTTTCACGGAAATTCTAGTTGTTATAAGAAAGCACCATGTTAGTGTATAGAGAGACAGTACTTTGTATAGCATCATATTTTGTATTCGGAAAGATCACTGAATAGGCCTATATTGTGAGAGAAACCCCATTTTGTTGAGTTGTGATCATCTAGTTTTCCTATATATTTGATGTTTTCTCTCTTTTTATAGGCAAGTTCAGAATAGCAACCAATCAAACTATCTCCTCCGGCAGCTTAAACTGACATCAATTGAAAATGGGAGCTTTTGTCTGTCATGCAATTTGGTGTGTAATATCAAAAATGATCAACCTTTCTGAGTCAGGGGATTAGCATTAGGCTATCTAAATTAGTTATTATATTAGATGTTTCTGACGAACATCTTTATTTTGTAAATGCCTCAGAACCTGTAAACAGAGCCTCTTTATTTTACTTTGAATAGCCTAGGAACTCAAAACCTTTCATGAGACTTTATGGAATATTGTGGCATCCTAACCTCTAGGTGGCAGTGAAGGTGAAACATGAGCGACAGCGGAGCGAGAAAGAGGAAGTGCTTTCTGTAGAAAACCATCGTCAAGCTCGAAGGACTTCGTGGATGTTTTCCTGTACAGCAACCAAATAAAAGGATCTAATTAACATTATATTATATTAGATGTTCATGTGCAATTTACTTGGAATACTCATGTGATGTTTCCCCATTTGTTTCACTTAACATGTAAGTGCCTTTTTAAAAGCTAAACTTCAGAAACGTGTATTAATGTCGTGGAATAGATATGAGAGAATTTTAGCAGGCAAGAAAATAGGTTTTTCTTCTATCAGTTAGCCTAATGCGAGAGAGCCTTTTCTGTTTTTGACAATTAAATCTATTCCTCTTGTTTCACAATAGGCCTACCCTGATCCATGTGCCTGACAGCAGGGCGGCGAGGTCAAGACAGAGAGAAAGGGCAAACAACAATAGATAGATAATGATCATAGACTGTAAATAATGATTCGATAAATGAAGAAAAGCGAACAGGAAAAGTGGAAACTTAACTTGGAATCAAGATTTTAATTTACTTTTTAATTAAATAATTAAATATATTTTTTTAGGCTACTTTCTAATGTAGTTTTCTCTCTTTAAAAAAAAACGTTAAATCGGTATGTGTTTTTTTTTTAATCCTTCTTGTTTCTTTTGTTTATTGTTTGATGCCAAATTTTACAAATGTTTTATATGCGTGATATAAATGGCAGCATATTAACTTTTTATTTTATTTTGATGAATATAACATCATAATAAAGTTAACAGGAAGTTAGTCGCGCTCTGTTGTTGGCTTGACAACACTGTTACTGTGACAACATCCTTCGAGCGCTGCTGCCCTTGACTGACCCACGTGAGGCAATCTAGCCTCTCAGAATCTTGCTTCGCCGGTATAGCTATCGAAAGTAACTAGCTGAAGGGCTTAAATCGGAGAGAATTGGTTCCAACATCTACTTGTTTCAGTCTTACGTTCTGCTCCACTTAATTTGACGTCCGGTTAAAAATGTCTGGTCACAGTAAATCGGTGCTGTTTTTACTGCAGCGGTGTGTCGCAGTTGGGCAGGTAACGTTGTCAACGGGGATCAAAACAAGGGCAGCGTTTTGTCAAGCAAGTTAATTCAGCAGCGAACATGGACATCAAAAGCCCTGACAGTCTGTCTGCAGAGACCGTGTGAGCTCCAGTCTGCAGTGAAAACCAGCCAGTACAGCTTCTGTACCAAGGTGAGTGACACAGAGTGTACTCACTTCATTATCAGGCAGACTGCATTTGTGTGTGCTTTACTCAGTTTGCTTTGTTGCCCAACATTACCCAGTGCCTTGCCTTTTAAGTTGCAGAAATACCCTAAAGGTGTTTTGATATTAAACTAATACAAATAAACAGCAACACTTATGAAGTAGATTTCAGTCTATTGTTTGGTGTGTTGTAGCCTATTAGAAAAGAGTTTTAATCAAATCTGACCTCTTGTCTGACAGGCAGGAACATCTTGTGAAGATGAATACCCTCCACTGCCGGCCTACCAGACTGATCCAGAACCAGAGAAGAAGGACGTGTTCATTGTGCAGGTTAAAGGCTTACCTTGGTCGTGCTCGGTTCAGGACCTTCTGCAGTTCTTCTCAGGTGAGGGTCGTTTTTTTTAATGTTGGCGAGCATCTCACCCATAGACTGCATATAAAAGTCAAATGACTCACCTGTACTTCAAGGTTTTCTTTACAACCTAATTAAGTGTCAATACCCTAAATGAAAAAGAAAACATTTGTATGAGTCCATATCTTATCTGCTTATTATTTTATCTAAATCTGTCTTATCTGTGTACACTCCTTCTGTTTGGAGCCTTCTAAGCCCAAAGTAGCAGATGACTCTTAGTAATAGTAGAGTAAGATAGGAGGATTAGTAAGTGATGACACGTATGTGATGCGTTCCTACTTCTTCTCCTCCACATTTTGAAAAGATACTTTTCGATACTTAAAGTTTAGCTTACTTTAGCTAGTTCCTTCAAAATTGCAATTACCTGTGTGGCGTGTAATTGTAATAAAATGAACCAATTGAGTGTGCTACAGGAATAAACTGTCTTTGTCTGACCTGTGGCTCTTTTCCTCCACCATTTGTCAATGCCACAAATGTTAGTTTTAAGTTTAACGGTTAATTGTAAACTTTGCTATGATTAAGAATCACTCTCTTGTTGTAGTCACATAGAAAAGATCCGCAAAGTAAAATTAGAAATGAATATTTCTTAACATGTTGTCGTCTTGTTTCAGAGTGTAGGATCCGTGATGGTGAGAAGGGAATTCATCTCCCTCTGGACCGGATGGGGAGGCCGTCAGGTCGAGCCTTCTTGGAGCTGGAGCACGAGGAGGACGTCAGTAAAGCTCTGGAGAAGCACCGGCAGTACCTCGGTCCACGCTATGTTGAAGGTTTGTCACTTTGGAGTCCCACCTGTGGAGCGCCGAAATACGAATACTGATTGGACTTTTTCCACGAGTATACTCTGACATCCCATAAGTAGACATTAGTTATTAATTTTAGGATGGATGACGGCTGGATTCCATAAAGTTTCCTCAGTTTCATCGTGCTGTAATTGTTTATGCTGACTCAGTTTCATACTTCTATGGCTTACTGGAAGTCTAAAATATAAAGCAGCTATCATTAATAAAGTCATACTTTGTGTTTTTGCAGTGTATGAAGTGTCCAACTGTGATGCAGAAGAGATCTGAAGAATACCATCCAGACTCCAGCTGAGGACGGGGTGGTCCGGCTCAGGGGTCTTCCTTTCAGCTGCAATGAGGCAGACGTGGTGCAGTTCTTCTCAGGTAATCACCTCTATGTGCATCATCCAAATGGGACCACCATACTGACATCTAACTAACACTCACATACACTGAATGCTACAACATTTGTATTCCCCATTACAAAATGTTTTGGTGGATTCTGTGTTTTTAATTACTAAAGTTAAATTCACAGCCTGTTTGTGTTGTTTAGGTTTAGATATCGTGCAGAACGGAATCACCTTAGTGAAAAATACCAAAGGGAAGAATTCTGGAGAGGCCTACGTGCAGTTTTCCTCTCAAGAAGCGGCCAATAAAGCCCTACAGAGAGACCGAGAGGTCATCGGGAATAGGTAGGATGCTGCACACACTCTCGTCATGGCCACCACAAGCTTTATTACCCTACAGTTCTTACCTCACCATGTTACTTGGTTGCTAATTGGTTTGTCCCTGTCTGTATTTGCAGATACATTGAGGTGTTCCCCAGCAAACGTGCAGAGATTCGTACTGAATGGCAAAGGAGGTCGAGTTCATCCTCTCCTCAAACCAGCTATCAAATGCCCCTAAACCAGGCCTACCCTAGAACTGGTGAGGGGATTTCAGACCTACTTTTTGTGAAATGAATTGTCTTGATTTATATTTGGAACGTATAGGAAATGAAATGTTACAAAAGTCAGTTTTTGAAATCTCAAATTGAAATAGTGATTTTTAGTTGAAATTGATAATATTTTTTTAAGTATTGGAGGACTTAAGGACATAATCAGCTGCCCATTTACATTTACATTTTTTTAAATTAACTTTCAATTACCAAATTAATTTTGGAGTTTTAAACATAAACAGAACTGGTAAAATTGATGTTCTTGCAACCCCCCAAAATAACAAAAACAATTGTTGGTAGGCCTGCACAATGTTAAAACAATGTGTGATGTGGGACCATGTTGTTCAGTATTGTATCACCCAATATGAAGTGCAATAAATACACAACAATTAAACAGTGCATAAACGCTATAGCCCAGTTTTAATGTCAGTCTGCTATTCTTCATGTTTTACACAGTACCTCTGTGTACAAAGTGTTTCACCTGAATCCAAAATAAATCCAATAAGCAGCTTTTTTTTCTTCACAACTACACTGGCACCAATTAATCTGAGAGTAACAGGACGCTAGCTTGACCCTCATCATACTGCATCAAAGTGTTATGAAAGGATGCCCACTTAACACAGGCTTCCATCAGATAGTTAACATGTGCACATGAATGGTGAGAGGGCATTGCTTATTTACATAAATACATTTTTCTTCTAGTTGAGATGAGATTATTGCAAATGATCGTTTCCCAATAATGTTGAAAGTGCGCTTATTTGCACAGCTGTAGTTTTTAGAAAAGAACCTGATGAAAATCAGTCGAAAATGTTAATATTTAAAAATGTATTTCCTTTCTAATAAAACATCGGTAATATTCAGGGACTGTTCAGACTGTGGTTAAGCCAAAACGGAAGAAATGAAGGGAAAGCTAATTCAAGTTTTTAGAGCAAACGTTTGTGTTCCCTTATGTAAACTGATGTACCTTCTCCATCAGGACTCCGTCAGAGCTCGGCCCCCCCAGTTCATTTCATCCACATGAGAGGACTTCCCTTCCAGGTTTCCGGAGAAGACATTGTAGAGGTAGAAGATTCTGAATAACAAACACTGAGATGTAAGAGTTGGATGAGTTGCTTCTGTAAAGATCTCATGTATTTCATCATGTTTTTGTTCTTCTTGTTGCAGTTTTTCTGTCCCCTGAAGGTCTCAAAGATCCTGATCGAATGTGGTCCTGAGGGGAGGCCGAGCGGAGAGGCTGACATTTTCTTCAGCTGCCACCAGGACGCCACCACTGCCATGACCAAAGACAGGCAGCACATGGGTGAGACTGTTAGAAATCTTCAAGTACAAGGATCACCTAAACTCAGATCTGTCAATTAATCTATATATTTTAGACTTTTTACCAAAATCTGATCCGGTGTTTGAGTTTAAAACTGCTCATCAGTTTTAACATAACTGTAATGTACGCACCCTAAGATATTGACTTATCACTGGACCGGTGCCTTCTTGCTTAGCTACAGCTCCATCTATTGGTTCAATGACCTCATGTTGTCATGATCACTCCGACATCATACCTAAACTTGTCAACCAAATGCAGTTACATTCAGGAGATATGACCTGCACTAGGAGTCTGAATGAACTTCAAAGGAGAGAGAAAGCAAAAACTCAATGGAACATCAAAAATGAAAAAGACTACATTTACCAACACCAAGTTGGTCCACAGATGTTCTCTTCCAAATATGGTGTATATAACCCTAAGTCGATTATGACCGAATTCAAAATAGAAGTCTGTGAAGTTGTAAATAAAGTTTGGTTTCTGAGACGCGCAGTTCTAATGTAACGGGCCAGTTCAACATCGGGCCAGGTTTTCTGACATGCATACAGGACTATATTTTTCTGTGTAACCATGTTCATTTTTAAGCGGGTGCCATTTAACATTGGACTTTTCCCTCTTTTTATTAACTTAAGATGATTGTGCAACCTTGGTAAAGCTCTGCATCACGAGTGTTTTTATATTTACTGTGAGATTGTTGTATAATGTTGACATGACATGTTGGTGCTAATGGGGATCTGTTAGCACCAACATGTCTGACTACATGAATGAAGAAACAAAGACAAACATGCAGCAAAAACAAGGATCATGTACTTCATTATTAATGCATCATAAAAGTGAATAAATGTGAGAATATAAACATCTGGAGCAGCTCTTCCTCTTTATTATTTACAGTCTTTGGCTCTAACATTTCAACGTTGTCTGATTTTCAGGAGAAAGATACATCGAGTTATTCCTGAACTCTGCTCCAGACTGTAATGGAAGGTAAGTAAACACTGAATAAGATCCAGAGTTTGAAATTCTAGCATCTTGATTACAAAAATAAACCATTTATGTTTCTTACTCTTGTTTTTAATGGAAGTTATAACGACTGTTCAGTGGTCAATTCTAAGCTGTAAAACAAGTCAGCGTTTCGACCATTCAGTTATGAATTTTCAGCTTTTTTATTTTTAAAGAAAAACACGTGGAAGTCTCCGTGCTGCTCTTGATGTTTAACAACTTTTACAAAATAAAAATGTAGATGTGTTTTGTTTTTACAAACTATGCTGATCTAATTTACCGTCATGTGTTTACTCCTGCAGGTGAATGTCGACACAAAGATGCCAAACACATAAATTGGACTCTTGTATTTATTCATCGGCCTGACATGTACATCGAACAACAATAAATTACCTGGATGTTAAGACAAACTCTGCTGTCACTGACTGCCCTACAACAGGGGGTTATTTAGGGTTTCTACAAATATATAATATGATAGAATATATGAAGTCTCTCCACTGAATCATTTTGTACATTTACGTATATATCACTGTGATCATTTACACACACTCTGCTGGACAAACTGTTTTTTATCCCCCCCAAGAATTTTGTTATGCATTATATTTTCTATAAAAAGTCTTGTATTGGCATATAGTGTCAAAATATGTACTTTGATATTCATGGGCGGATAATATTGGCTGGTGCTTATGTATATTTTGGGGCTTTTGCCTTTATTTGATAGGACAGTGATAGAGAAGGAAACCAAGGAGAGAGAGTGGGGAATGGCATGCAGGAAAGGAGAAAGGAGCCACAGGTCAAACTCTAACCTGAAAGGACTACAACCTCCTTTTATGAGGCGCATCCTAACCGCACGGCCATCTGCGCCCCTTTCATAATAACTTCATAGTCAATTAGTAAAATAATAATTTACTTGCTTGAAATCATAAATCATGATGAAGCAGATACCAAACAGTCAGTTTTCAAAATAAGGGAATAGGTCAGTGGAATAAGACAAAGCTCAATAAAAATAATACAGTTATTTCTATAAATTGGGTACACATAATTAAGTCAACTTTAACTGTCAAGATACACCTGAATGTCACCAGGTGAAAAAGATAGAAAAAGAAGAGTTTGATAGAGGCAGTGGGGGAAAAAACTGAAAAGAAAAATACAAAAAGAGATGACAAGTAAGGGATGATGGGGACAATGAAAGGGACATTACTGCGTTGAAGTATTACTTCAAATCCAAAGGTAGGCTGTTATGCAACTTATTGAATGCCAACTCCCTTTAAAAACCAACAAAGAAGAAGAATGCCTGCAGGTGAAGTGAGAGTTATTGTTCTTGGCAGACAAAATATTGACATCAGCACCATCATTGGAAAAAATACAATTAGGTGTTGTTCATGATACAGTATATTTAGTTTTGGAAATCACTGAGCATGGTGAACTCAAAACTCCAAAAAGCTTCAACATGTAGAAATCTACTGAAAAGGAGGAATTACACTACACTGGTGGAAAAAGTATTCACTTAACTAAGTCGTCCTTTATTAGATAGATATATACTTTATTGGTTCTTAGGGATATTCAAACATTACTATTAAAAACTAGATTTGAGGGTGAATGTTGTGTTGCCCTTCAAAATAAAAGGTCGCTTTGAGTGGTGAAAAACATTGCAGAAGGATCTTTTTTTTGATCTGAAATATGTTGAAGTAGAAAAAGGAATCGGGGGGGGGGGGGTGCTGCTTATCTTTAATAATTTAAAATGTCCTCTAAAATACTTCATGAAAGAAAACACACGAGTAAAAGTGAATAAAAGTTTATTGATCAAAGAAGCATATCCATCTCTTGTGCTATTGTCTTTAACAAGAACATCTACCTCAGACATTACACTGAGCTTCTAATTACTCTTCATATACATCAACAGAACATCAAAAATAGCTTCTATAAACATGACCTGATATGTCTACTTCAAAGCAAGCAGGCAGAGAGCCGAGCCCTTAAAAAGGCTGAAATATGTTCAGAGCTCCAGAAAGGAAGTCCAGAGAGAAGCATGGATTCTAAATATGTGAATGTTACATTTCCAGATGTTAAGTGCTGTTAATAATCCAGAATCGGATGAAAATATGAACAGGAGATTACTTTGAATCACGTTTTGTTAATGCCACTTCTGGCTAATGACAAAAAAATGACATTAAAGATATATTACATCAGAGATATTCAGCATTTTAAAACCACTCTTATGTCTGTACCCTATTTACGAATCTACAGCAAGCAGCTAGATAGCTTAGCATAGCGTTAACACTGTGTCCCTCAATTTAAACATGACAGAATCTGCCTTCTTAGCAGAATCTCTACAGCTGCTTCCGAACAAATTCAAGACTCAACGAAACCTTGCTAGCTGTTCTCTGTCTTGTCAGTGTCTGTGATTAGCTCAGCAAAACAATTTCAAAGTGAACAGACAAATCTCTCGCTCATGGGGCTCCAAGAGAGCAGCCCGGGTTCAAGTCCGATCTGCGTCTCCTCTCCTGCATGTCTCTCTCCACTCTCTCTCCTGATTTCCTACTCTATCCACTGTCCTATCTACATGAAGGCAACAGCCCAAAAAGAAATCTTAAAAAAAAAGAAATAAACTTAACTGCTCATCTTGTGCAAGAACTATTCCTTTGAAAACTATACAGCAAAATCTACTTCCTTCTGCAGTCTGACCCCCACAGCTGGATGTCAGGTCATAAATCACGATAAAAGACTACAGAGAGTCCAGCACTTCAGGATGACTTACATAGAACTTCAATAGCTATACTGGTTTTTGATTATTTGTAAGGCATTAATAATGCATTACAGTTTTTCAATTTTTCTCACATCAGAAAACTGAGTCTATCATAAAGCCATGTACATCTAAGATTGTTTTGAACAATTTCATAGTGTCTAAAAAGCTTTGTCAGCACATAGAATCTTACACAAAACACTGACATGTCTTTTATATCAAAGTATAATAAATTATTTGGTCAAAGGTGTTATGGATATTTGATTTTGTCAGTATCACTTTGAATCAAAGGACATGTTTAGCTCTAAAGTCTGGATGTAAACCCTTCGGTAAAGTTAAGGAATGAAAAGTTTCCATTGTAGATGATGTTTTTATGTGTTTATGAGTAACCATAGTACTGGTGGATTATGATTAACCATAGTGTAGTGATGGAGGGTAATTTAATTTGAACTACAGAGTTGAAATAGAAGACGTTTTTCCTTTTTTGTCTTTTAAAACTGAGTTTAAAAATATTTCCAGTTGACCACTTACAGTAGTAATAATCCACTTAGTGGACACTTTGTAAAGTCAGTTTTTTAAATGCATGACATGATTCAAGTAGTCTTTTTATATCACTGACCTTCAATTAGGTGCTTTTAAACTTTTTGAATGCAGGTTTTACAAAAACAAAAAAACACCACTTCATATCAATTAACAAACTTTCTGCAAGAAAGGAGGAGTTACAGCTTCACCAGTATTTAAAAATTAAAACCTGCATCGAAAAAGCTCCAAACAGTTTGACACCGCTTTAAAAGTTTTGCGAGTTCAGAACTGGCAGGACTCCATCAGCTCTGTCCCATCGTCTCCAGCCATGAAGTCAAAAAGTGCATTTTTGCAGTGCCAGACGTACATGAAATGTGACTGATCTTCTCTGTGTCTTTTGGTAAACTGCTGCTTCATGGTGGTGTTGAAGCGTACTGTTGGAGTAACAGAGAGTAGCAGGCGGTGCACACAGTCTCTGGGAGGATGGAGGAAGGTAACGGCAGCTCGTTGGACACGCAGCTCAGACAGAAAACCCTGCTACAGTTCTTACACTGTTTCTACAGAAAGAAAAGAAGGGAGATTAAAAAAAACAAAACCTAACTCATTCATGTTTGTCTCCGTTCAGTGTGATAGCGTTGGAAATATGATAATGAGCACCAAAGTTAAAGAACAGCAGAGGATGGTCAACAATTCTCTTTTGTTTATTAACCAAAATATTGAACCATTAATTTTCCCTCCATGCAAAGCAAACGGATCACTTGCACTACGTTTTACAGCAATGTATGTAAAAGTTGAGCTATTTGAGGTAATATTAAAGAGATGGATCAACTGACCAACAGACTTTGAGTTGTAGTGGTTGAACAGTCTGTTGTGATTTTAATGGAAGGTAAAACAACAATTTACCATATATACTTTTATAATAATAATAATAATAATAATAATAATAATAATGTATCCCTCCCACCTGCTCCCATCAGTCCTTGCTTTTAATTTAACTCTTTGTTCATAGGTTGGTTTTGCTTGTGTGGATATGTTATCTTAAATAACTCCAAGGGACCAAAGTGACCTTTAGGATTAAATTCTTGATTCTGTAACTGGTTCTGACTGGTTTCAGAGTAGAAGACAAGTTGCTTTAGAAGTCTCATACATGCTTCTCTTATCTTGGACCTTGTTTGCATAATGTATATTAGCTGGAGACATTTAGCCAATGCTGTGTTAAGTTCGACTTCCCTTGACAGATCCGTTTTAATATCCACCACTCGTGTTGTTGAACTACGAGCTGTTTTAATAAACACTCTTCTTATTTGATAGCATGTATCGTAAACTAGTGCCGAGACCTCTTTAATCCTCACCTTTGTCTTCAGGAGGGAGTCCTCCTTCTCACACATCGTACAGACAGAGGGCTGACTGATTTCCACGAGGGATTCCTCCTTCAGATAAAAAACAAATATGGGTTTTAATTACCGCCATCGCGGGAACACTCAAATATCCAGCGACAGCAGTGCAACAACGCTTAATGACTGTTTCAGGTTTAACTTCAGTGCATATTTGAATTTTCACAGTACAAGCTGATATCGAAATTTAGTTTCCAATCATAGGCAGTTGTATGCGAGAACAATTAAATATTTATTTAGTGCATCTTATATGTCACCTGTTCATCCTCATGGTGTGACAAAGACCTTAAAGGAAAAGAAAGTCTAAATGAATAAAGAAACTTCAAACAAAAATGTCCTCTTGTGATCATATATTCTTTAAAAGCTGTCAAAAGTACTTACAAGCTGGAGCTCAGACTTGATCTATCCTCTGCTCCAGAGTGACGCTGTAGGTCAAATCACACATATCATCATAGGGAAAGAATTTAGATGACAGCTAAAAGAAGCTGAGCAACAAATGTTTAATTTCTGCACATTTTGGATTGCAGGTTTACTTTTGGTATGTTCTCTGGTTGTTTCCTCTGAGGAGTCCCGGGCAGTAAGGGTGAAGAGTCTTGATGCTGCTCACTCCTTCGCTCTCGCTCTTTTCTTAGCTCCAGGTCAAGATGATACCTGAAGCAAGACAAACACAAGGTTGTGATGAGAAGTTCTTATACTTAATATTTAGTACATTTCTGCTTTATCTAAAAAAAAAAAAGATATGCAGTAAACCTACAAGGAATGCTATATGCAGCACTGAAGTATGAATGAAAGGGCTTCAAACTAGAATGTATAACATAAGATAGGGAATCATGTGGAAGGTCTAAGAGCTACAACTATTAATATCAGCCTTACATCTATCATCAGTAATATAAATATAAAAGGGAATCTTACAGCTGAAATCTCGGAAATTGTTATTTAGCGTTCTATTTCCCTTAACCCAAACTGAAACCTACACAAAACTGATTTAAACTCCAAACAGAGAAGTGAAATGTTTGTATTTATCGATTGTGAAAATAGACTTTCCTGATGGCCCGGCTGCAACGCTGATTAGACTTCCCTGCAGAATTTCAAAACCGGACAAGATGCTGAACACATAAAAGATTTCAAAAACACTTAAAGGATGTGTTTTTTTCTACTTTATGATCAGTTGTCTCAATAAACAGCAGGCCACCAAAGATTTTTAGACAACACAAAGTTGAAGGTGTTGTTTTTTTAGGATTAATAAATGAGTATTTTTAGAGGCAGGATGGTTTATGTGGGACTGAGCTAAAAAGAAAAAAACATTGTGTGTGATTATGAAAGTCGACGGACATTTAATGAAGTGCAGTAGTGTGTCTCATATACTGTATGTGTCTGTAGTAAGGTTTCTGACAACAATAGAGCTGTAAGACAAAGAAGAAGAATATATCAGACCTGGGCTGCACAGATGATGATACTTGAATAGTTGGCTCATATTTTGCTATGTTTACATTAAAAAATCCCTCAGACCTTACCTGTGCTTCCTCAGCTGCTCCACCTCCTCTTGCAGACTCTCTATTTTATCTCCAAACTCCTGCTTGAAGAGCCGGTTGGCCTCAAAAGCAACGTCCCTCTCTCTCTCGGCCTGTTTGCATCTGGTTTGGGGAGGGAGGGGGTGGGGGGTGTCAGGAAAAACTCATGGCAAAATAAAAAATTGATGGAAAGAAGAGTGGTTGGAAAGAAATGTCAACTAAAACTGAAATAAAACACAAAAAATGACTTGAAGATTAAGTGTCTGACGCCCAATGAGGTCAACAGGAAGCGTTTGCCAAAAGAAGATGAAGCAGGCTGTGTTTGTTTCAACTTTTTATTAGCCTAATGATTACTACAGTTAACACCAATGCTATGTTCACATACAATTCAAAATTAATCAGTTCATTAATTTTGCCCCATTCTTCTTACTGTATCCTGATTCTGTCCTGTACCAAACACAAGTTCATATTTTCTTCTTGTTTTATTATTTGTTGATATATTAAGCACAGTCTCTGGTAGTTGTTGGATTCTTTGGAAAAACATTACAGCATGTCTTCTACCTCCCAAATGTCCAAGAGGTGTTCTTTAGCTAGATAGTATTTGAAAAAAACTGTCCACTTTGGGATCCCTCTCCGTCTTC